GATCCCCTGGAGAAGGGAATGGGAAGCCAGTCCAGTATTCTTGCCTGGAGAATCCCATGGACAGAGGAGATGGTGGGCCACAGTCCACGGGGTCTCAGAGAGTCAGAAACTGAGCTCTCACACACATACACGTATTCTAAAGGAGACAGCCCCTGAGAGTAAGGAAACAGGGAAGTATTTCGAACACTGTACAGATGAAAGCACCCAAAAGTGTTGGTTCTGGCTCTCCGGTACATCTGCTATCTAGAGACTTGGTAAGGGGGTTTATTTCAGGAACTGACCTCTTTCGTGAAGATGCACCAGAGGCCATGGGAGGATATGGGACCGACCACGTGGAGTTCACCAGCCTCAGAAGCAAATGACACCCTCACCCTGGCCGGGCTTTCTGGACCCGTGCATGAGCTCTGTGCTCTTTTCATAACAGGCCTCTGTCTAGGAACTGGGGCTGAACTCATCTTCTTTTTCAGACTGTTTTGCTCATGACACTGTTGCTTTTGTCCAGTGGAGCAGCAGTGGGGGAATGTCAAGACCCTGGTGTTCCTTCTCTCCTAAAGAGAAAGCACCTTAATGCCATTTGGAGTCTTAAGATTCTTCTCAGCTTGTTTACAAAGCTGTTCTTAGATTTTCAAGCGTCATCAATAGGGTTCAGGCTTTCAAAGCTGCTTTTTTTTTTTCCTTCTTCACAGCAGTAGTAATTCCTTTCTTTGTTTTTGTTGCAATTGTATCCTGTAAAACCAGGCTTATTAAATTCCTCTGGAGGTTTTTATAGGTCCTTCTCTCCGAGATGCCTGCTGAGTTTAAAGCCCTTTCCTGGGTCCAACAGAGCTCTCTGTGTTCAGGGCAGGTGGTGGGCCTGCTCCATGTTGCAGCCTAGACTAGTATATTCAGTACACATGTGGTCTGTCAGCTAACTCATCCTTCTCTTTCCATGATCGTTTCTGTACAGCCGTCCCACCGCATGAACTTGCCTAGGCCTGACCACTGTGGTGCCTGCACTGAGCTTCCTGGGTGTGGTCTCCACAGTAAGCCCTGGGAGAGCACTGGGAGGCCGCGGGCCTTTGGCATGTTTGCTGACCCCTTTTTTCTTCCTCTCTATTAATGAGTGACTTGGGAATTAGAGCAACAAATTAATAAAAAATGAATTTTCCCAGCAACATAAAAAAGTTCAGCCCGCGTCACGTTTACAAACCGTGTTACTGCATCTGCGGTGGCCTCGGGTCCTCCCAGTGAAAGACCCTGAGCAGCAGGATGCAAGGAGTCCCACGTCCCCATGTGAGCGCGATCCCCGGGGCTAGGCGTGGGGTCGGTGAGGCGTGTGATCATCGGATACTGCACTCATGAAAGGGGAGGCAGAAACACGTGTTTGTTTCAAATTCCACTGAATGTAACATTTAGACATCTTAAGGATCTCTTTTCCAGGTCCACCGGTGTCATTCATTCAGTTTGTCCCAGACGGAAGTTTCGTTTTTCTATCTGAAAAAGTCTTACCAGAGGTTTAAATAAGAGTCAGAAAAGTAAAGAAGGTTTTATTGGAAAATAAATTTTAGGTGCTAATTGATCCTCCTTTCATTCCCTGTGCTCCGCTCAGAGACGTAGACCTGGCTACGGACCAAGGGGAAGGCAGGAGGCAGGGGCTGCGCCAAACACAGGTGTGCAGTGTGATGACTGATCACACTGTCCGTCCCAGCCAGGCTGAGGAAAGAATAGGAGGACACAGGCTGGGGCTTGGACCAGAGGGGGTGAGTGGCCCCTCTTGCAGCAAACCCGGGCAGTACTGTCCAGCGGAACTTTCTGCGGTGGGAGCGGGGCTACTCACACCTGGGCTGTCCATGCAGAGGCCATCACTCAAGAGAGTCAGTGATGAGAGCAACTCAGGTTATGAAAGAATTTGCCGAGGTAGTGGAAATACAGAGTTAATACGCAGATGTTCATAGTGCCTTTCACATTCACAGAGTTAACCCATTAGAAGATATTGGGGGAAAGACAGCTCCCTTTACAATAGCAAAATAAAGTCCTTAGGAGTAAATGGAATAAGAATTGTCCAAAACCTACGGAAGAACATTCTGAAAGTTCTCCAGAAAGACGCAAAGGTAGCCTTCGGCAGACGGGACAGGCTTTTCCTGGTTTGGTGGTTGCAGCATCAGTGAGATGGCAGGTCTTTCTACGTCAGTTGTGTTTTTTCCCTGGGGCTGGACATGTTGATTGTGTCATTAACAGAAGAACATCTGTGACCACCTAGAAAACTCAGAAGAGAAAGGGCCAAGAAGAGCCCTGCCAGACATTAAGTCATCCTCTAAGTGAGATAAGGTGGTGACGGGGCAGGACAAACACGAGTAGACAGACAGCCCAGCAGACCAGAAGGGCAGGAAGAAGCTGAGGTACAGACGGAAACCTCGGGTCTGACGAAGGCGGCATCTCAGAGTGCTGGGCCAGGATGAACTTTGAGTAAGTGATTTGGGGACAGTCTGACACTATTTTGTAAAAGACAACATCAGGTTTATGCCTTAGACCACGTATTAGGATAAGCGCCAAATGGATCTAAGGAGACTATTCTAGTGTTAGAAACACCTGCCAGTACAACCTCAGTGCTGGGAAGGGCTTTTATTTATTTATTTTTTGGGGGGAAGGGCTTTTAAAACATGATTCAGAGTTGAGAGTCAGTCAGGAGAGGGCAGATCTTATGACATTACAGTACTGCAGCGATGAGGAACTTCTGTCTGACCAGGATTCAAACAGCAGCAGCAGCACTGTGCATGAGGTCAGAAGTCAGAAGGTCAGCTGTGAGAGACATCTCCGCAGCATATCACATGCACCACACAGCATGCACATGCATGCACACACATGCACATGAACAGACACGTGCACACTGCGTGAGGTCAGAAGTCAGAAAGGTCAGCTGTAAAAACATCTACTCAACATAACACGTGCACATGGCATGCACACACAGGCACATGATCACACACACATGTGCATACACTAATGTTAGAAGACAGGTCAGCTGTGAGAAACATCTGTGCAACATATCACACATGCACACATGTGTATGCATGTGCACACACAGACCTACACACAGGCCTATGCACACATGCTCAAGCACGTGCACATGCATGCATGTCCACACATACGCACACACCTCTGCAGCAACATGATCATGCACACACACCCTATATGAATGTGTGCACACATGCATATGCATGCATACGTGTGTACATAGGTACACATGTATTTGCACACACATGTAAAAATAGCCCTTCAGCTTCTTGGAGGTACTGTTTCTCACATATCAGATGGGCAGAAATTCCAAAGCCCTTTGGAAAACTGTCAGTGTGTATGTGCTTAGTGGGAGAAGATGGTCAGTGGATGAGGGGGCCTCTTGGCTCCATCAAGAGGCCGAGTTCACAGTGGTTGACTCTGAGCTGACCTGCGACTGGCCTGGAAATGGGTTTTATGATGGAAGTGACAACCCTGCCCTTGATTTCATTATTCGTAGGTTCTGAGCATGGAGCGAGTGTTTGGGCAGCTGTATGCTTGAGCTGCTGGGCCCCTGGGCCCCTTCCTGGGTCCCATGGGTCCCTCAGGCTGTTTGTCCTTCCCTCTCCCCACACCTGAACTTTAGGAGCTGCTGCTCGGCTGCCCTTTGCCGTAGGTGGCTCTGTGCTCACATGGATTTCACGCTCTGCTTGGTGGGAAGGTGTCTGCGATGCGTGTGTGGATTTAGGGGGATGGGTGAGGCCCTGTGGGTGCCCCTTCATCCGTCCTTGAGCCGGCTCACCCAGCCTTGCTCCGCTGGCGTATGTCTCGGGAAGTTCATGTGAAGAAGTGAGACGGGGAGGAGAGGCCTGCCTGCAGGTCAGACCTGCGGCCTGGGCTGTGCCAGGCCCTCCCACGCTGGCCCTCAGACTGCTGTCTCACCGCTGATACCCTCTGTGGACACTGGACAGCCTTCTCTGCTCCTGGGTTCTGGTTAAAGGCCACATTGTTTTGATTTTGTGTCCCACGTGTGGACCTACGAGCCCACAGCCTTGCACACACAGGGAAGGCAGCCTCAAAGGTCTGACTGAGGAGCTTCAGGGCTGCTTCCGGCCCTCCTGTGCCCAGTGTGTGGGAGTGAGCATTCACCCGGGGTGGGGTGGGGAGCCAGGCCAAGGCCCCTTCCAGACTGGGAGCCATGTGCCCCCATTCCACGTGGGTGACAACATGGGGGTGTGTTGTCCGTCCTGCCGGCCGCCTATGGGGCTGAGGCCTGCTTCTTGCTGGGGGTCCAGCTTGGCCCCAGCCAGCTTCAGCAGCCACCCTGTCGCTCACGTTGAGACAAAGCCCTACCACCACACCAGGATCAGCAGTGGGAGACGGTGACAGGCCCGCCCTGTGGGGGGGTCCAGGAGGATGGCTGGCTGGAGGCTTGCTCCCTGTCCTCCCACCAAACACTCTCAGGCCTCCTCTGTGGCCGCAGCCCGGCCTGGAGTCTCTGTTTGCAGGAGAGACAGTGGGCGTTGGGGTGGATGAGAGATCTGGCAGGCGCGCATCCCCCTCTGTCCCTCACTCCCCTCCCTTCCCACCACGCTGCGGGTGGCCCGTCCTTTACAGGCAGCTCGGGCATCACCCATCTCATTGGGAGCTCCTGTCCCTGGCATCTTCCTGCTCTGCGTGCCAGGCCTTGAAGCTTCATTTCATCTTGGGGGCCGTCTGGAGGGGAGGAGAGATGCCTCACCATGAAGAGGGCCTGGGAGGGAGGCATGGGAGCCGCCTCCCCGAGTGGCTGTAAGACTTTCAGGGACTCTGACAGCAGTGCCGCCTGCCATGCTGGTTGGCATTTAAATTAAATAGAGACAGAAGCTGGTCTGCTCAGGTGCAATGGATGCCGAGGGCCTGAGTGGGGGACAGCAGGGGACAGTGGTGTGGGTCACAGTGGCAGCCAGAGCTCAGCCGCTCCTCTCCTGTGGGGCTTGCCCCTCTCACCGCTGGAACTTTTTCTCTTGTGAGAATCGTTTGCTTTGCAGAGACGAGCAGACGAAAGCAAAAGATGTCATCTCGCCACCCAGAGGGGACTGCAGTGACTGTCTGGGGCTGTGCCTCCTCGTGGTACATGTGGGCGCACGGGTGGGTGTGCCTCGGACCCAAGTCCCTCTGGCGTGTCAGTGGCCAGGGGGACAGGGGGTCTGGGTTCTCTGCTGTCACCAGAGATCAGGGAGCAGAGGGGGACCCAGCAGCTGCCTGGGGGCATAGCTCTGGGCTCACGTGTGTGTCCCGGCACAGCCACGCCCGAGCACACGCGTGCCTGTCTGCGTGGGCTCACGCGTGAGGTCGTGGCCCTGCTGGCATGTCAAGCGTCCGTTTCTGTGTGTGAGTGCTGTTGTGGCCAGTGGCGTCCCTCCGCGCCCCTTCCTCTGAGCTGGCATGTGCTCCTTCTCAGCCCCTCGCAGCAGCTGGCCTCCAGGGGCCTGGGCCCCTGCTTGCTGAAGAGTGGCTGGGTGCCTCAGCATTTTCGTCTGGTCTGCCTTTTGTTTGTCACCAGGTTTGCTGTTTAACCAGTGTTTGCAGCGGCTCTTAGTGTGCCTTCAGCTGAAACGATAGAAAAGCCAGTTGGATCTGATTTTCGGGAAACATAGTTAATCTACTCCTGGAGTTCCCTTTGGGGTCCTTCCGCGAGCGGATCATTCCCGGCGCACAACCACTCGCCAGCCACAGGGTGAGGAGTTTCCTCTTTGGCTGCTCATGGAAATGTGCGGGTCGGGCGCAGGGCTGCTCCGCAGTCACGACTCAGCCCCGAGTCAGATGTGAGCGTGTATTTATATCCTCAGCCTTTCTCCAGAAAGCTCAGACCGCTTTGCTTTCTAACTTTAGCTTTCTGCTCTATTAGCCAGCGCAGGGAGGAGAGAAGCCCAGATTAGTCAGTTTGCTTTGTATTTATTTTTACTTGGCCTTTTCACTTCCAGAGTTTGAGGAGAAAATGTGCGATTCTTTTCTCTGCATAATTTTATGCCTTGACAAGAAGCCACTTTCAGCACGAGATGCTCCAAAAGTGGTGGGATTAACCTCGGGGTAGCATGTTCATTTTCCGTTCATGAAGCACACTTTAAAATGTTAATCCGTTTACTCTATGAAGTAATTGTTAATTCTTTCTCAGCAAGTTGGAGAACAGCACAGACCTGCCCCGAGCAGTGGTTGTTTTCTGCAGGCTGTCCAGCAGAGTCCCAGGGCAGAGGGTCATGGGGTGGCCTCTCATGAGGGCCGTTTTGTCAGAGAGCCAGATGAGGCGAGTGTGCGGAGGATCTGCTTACTGTTCGGTTTTTATTTATGTTTTCCTACAGGAATTAAGCTAAGTAATAGTCACTGGCAGGAATGTATTTTAATTCCTCAGAGCGTGAACCCCTCTCTGGTAGCCTTGGGAGGGGTCAGCCTGATAAGTTTAAGCCTCTGTCCCTTTGGAGAGTCTCACAGTTAAGGACTTGATAGCATTTATTTATAGCACCTTTGACCTTTCTAGTTAGCTCCCAGCAGGATTCATTTTGTTTTGAACAGGTGATGAATCTTTGGCCATTGTTAAAAGTAATAAACAAACATGATGAATCTCATGGAAAGCGTTGCGCGCCGACTCTTGTCCCGCCTCATAAAAGCGCGCCATGCATCTCTGTCCGGTTTGGTTCTTCTGGAGAGGACGGCCGCTGGCCCTGCGAGAATTTGTTCCTCTGTGGAGGCCCTCCTGGGAGGTGAGGGTGCTCGACTCTCTCAGGAACCCTTGTGCTCTTACTACTGTCTCACCTGTTCTGAGTCAGCAGTGACTTAAAACAGCTCGTGTTTGAACTGTTGTTGAGAGGCATCACAGGCATGGAAGGCGCACAGAACAGAGACACACAGTCCAGCAGGTTGTCACAGCAGGACGCCGAGCACTGGGTGTGGAGCCCTGCTGGCCCACGGCTCCCCACCTCCACCCCCAGGGCCGCCCCGCACAGGAGGCAGGGTTCACCCGGCACGCGAGCTCAGAACGCCACGGCACCCCTTGCCCTGCCAGTGCCCTCTCCAGAGTTCTCGTTCCCGGGTCCCGTTGTGATGAGGGGTGACCTCCTGGTCGTGCATGCCTCTGGCTTCAGCACCCTCCCCCTTTTCCTGAAGTCTCGGGTTTTGAACTTCACATGTTTAAGAGCTGAGATGTCTTTCTTTACTTGTGTTGATGAAACCTGAGGCTTCTTGCAGAAGTCGTCAAGGTTGTCTGGAAGGTCAGGGTGACTCATTTGCTCTGAATGCCCCTGTGGGGTCTGCATGCTGTTGTGTAACACGCGGGGTCGCGGGCGGAGCCGGAGCCGGGCCTCGTCCCCTGGACTATGGGGCGAGGTCATCCCCCTAACTTAGTGTTTGGAACGTGGACCTGTCCAGAAGGGAGCTTGCTTTGTCATCTGCACAGGCAGAAGCTGGGGAGACAGACACCTGTTAGCTCAATGATCTCTCCTTGGTTGCCACCACGTGGGGCCTGTGCTGCGTTTCCACCTTGGAGACTTGGCCCACTCATTAGGGCAGATAACGGGGCAGGGGGTGGTGAGTGCTTCCAGGGATGCTGATTGGTCAGCGTGTCCCCCTGGTCCTCCTTTGAGCCAGGTTTGTCTCACAAGTAGGGTCAGTCTGGGAACCACCTTGTCCGGGCGGGGCTGGCGGGACAGGGTCTGTGTCCTCTGGCTCCACTGTCCCACCACGTGTGCCCTTTGCCTCAGCTGAGGTCTCTGCAGAACACTCCTCGCACTGCTGAGTTTGAGTAAGATTTTATGTTTTATTCAGAAACAAAATATTGTTGTGAACTGTGTACTCTGCATGGATGCAAACTAGGAGGAAGGAGGTGGAGTGATCCCTCTGCCTGATGGCAGCTGTGCTGATAGCATTTGTCTGTGTCCTCTGAGTCTTCTTGCATACGGACATGTTTTATTTTTCCCTAAACACATTAGAGAGACTGCTGTTCCTCTGCGTATTTCTGCAGGTCTCTTGTGTCATCGGAGCAACACGTGCTACAGATTAGCAGCAACAACTTGAAAAATGGTTTATATTTAGTTTTCACTGTACAGTGTCATTCAGTAAGGGCTTTGCTGCAGGTCCTATGTGGAGTGGACGGCACTGTTGTATGTCTGGGTCTCTTCCTCTGAGGACGGTGGCGCAGCAAAGAGGAGCAGCCCCGGACACTGCCCCGGCCTCACTCTCCTCCAGGACGCTGTGCCCGCTGCCTGCCTGAGTTTCCAGGGAGGCTGTCTCCGAGCACTCTGGCATCTTCCCATGATGTCTGTGCACCCTCCCGGCCGGCGTGTGGGGCGTGAGAGTGTTCGAGTGTACACGCAGGAGAAAAGTGGAAGGGGGCAGCTAAAAGTGCTTGTAGTCCTGACTTCCTTCTGTGCTGGGTGTGGGTCTCTCGTCATGTCCGTGGGCTTCCTGTGACACGTGTGGGATTTCTGTTGTCTGTGTGGCATTTCTGTGGTATGTATGGGACTCCTGTTGTGCACATGGGATTCCTGAGATCTGTGTACACATCATACAGCACGTATATACACATACATGACGTATCTGTGGGCTTTCTCCATTAGATACTGGCTTACTCTCTGCCTGGTTGTAACACACCTTTTCCATTACCTTGTGGGCATGTTAGTGCACAGGGTCCTCCCTCGTCTTAGGACTGATACATTTTATCTGTTATCTGTTTGCTTCCACAGGTAAAAATATTTTCAGAAGCCTTCTGATTTTATGTAACTAATACCGTGCTCACAACCTTGTTTTCGGGCTCATTTTGCCATGTTTACCAGAGCTTATCCTTCTCTCCTGCAGATGCACTGCAGTCGTTCAACATGCCCTGATGGGTGAGGGTGCCCTTGCAGTTTAACTGTTTAAAAGCCCAAAGTGCTGTGAGCATGCGGTAGGAACCGAGTCACCCGTCCCCTCCCGCCCTCTGTGCTCCCCGAGGTGAGCAGCTGACGGCGTGCGGCGCCTCTGCTTCCCCATCCTTCTGGTCCTGACCGTCATCACTTGGTCTCACTTCTGTTCCTGTGCAGAGCCAGCAAGCAGCGCCTCTCCAGTGCTTGACTTTTACGAGTTACATTTTTAGCTTTATATTGACTAAGCTCTAAACATTTGTAGTCTGTTTCTCATCTCCCATTATTTTAGGCTTTCTGTGCTTTTTCTACAGTGTTAGTCCAGGAACGTTAACAGAAGGAGAGCGGCGTGTATAGTACTATGATCATATAAATGTATTTCACTGCAGAGCCAAGTAGCAGAAAATGCAGTTCCGAATCAGAGCTCCTGCCCAGCAAAGAGGACATTCAGACGGCACCTCCTGCCTTCCTGTGGGGCTTCCATACTGCCTCTGGCTGCTCCAGCTGCTGTGGGTCCTCATACCCCATGATGTTCATTTCTTAGATTCCATTTCTCTTTTGCTGGCGCGCCTCCTTCATCCACTTCCTTATAGAATGCACAGCTGAGAGACTTCCTGGGTTCCTGCACACAGTCTTCAAACATGTGGTTTTTTTTGTTCCTGAACTCGATCGATAATTGGCTGGGTCTAGAATTCTTGGTCCATGTCACTTTCCTTTGGAACTTGGCAAGTATTCTCTAGTATCTTCCAGGGTCTGGTGTCGCTGATGGAAAGTCAGGACGGCGATGCTCGTTCCTCTGCAGGTAGATCTCTTGCTCTCCCCTCATGTCCCTGCGTGGCCTTGAGTGCTGCTCATCTGACTGAGGACTGCCCTTTGCTCCCCCCTGCTCCTCCAGGCCCATGCTTGGGCCCCCTTCAGACTCTTGGCCTGTCTTTCGACAGTCATTCTCAAGTCCTGCTCTTGGCTCCTTGCTCTTGGAACCCCTGCCCTGCCGTCCTGCACATGGCTCCTTCCACCCACATGAGTCAGCCTGGGTCCACCTGCCTTCTGCCATGACCGCCTGTCCCAGCTTCCTCCACTGCTGAGCCCCCTTGGTGAATTTTCAGCGCTGTTTCGGCTCATTCACCTCCAGAATGTACCTTTTCTGATCCTTTGACAGGGCCTTGGGAAGGAAGGAAGGAAGGTGTGGACTTTATCACTGTTTTCAATTAAAAGCCTTTTTAGGTCACTGTGAGTGGCAGGGTTCTGTACCTTGAAGATCTCCAACAGTCAGGGTTCGTTCTTTCCACTGGAAGAACTGCCCAGCATTATCAGAGAATTGGAAAGAAATTAAATGAGCCAGTTCCAGTAAATTTGTCAGCAGCATATACTTGTCATTTTGTATTATGTAAGCCTGCCCCATAAACTTAAAAATAGCTGGGTAATATTGTTACATTTACCTAGATAGTGTGTTGCAAGTTAGTTGAATTTCACAGACTCAGAGTCAGCACATGGTTTCCTGATAAACGTCTCTACCGGATCACAATTCAGAGGGGCTCTATACACCTGGTTTGCCATAAAGTTGAAGATCATTTATGATACTGATAAGTTTAGTTATTGAAAAATTATGGTCTGGGAAAACGGACCAGATTTCCTCCCTGTGTACCCAAATAGCCCATGTTAAACTAATATGAAATGATAAAGCAAAGCTGATGTTATAATGATATAAAAAAAACCACAATAGTAGCCATTGAAGTCCATGATAAATTAAAGCCATCATTGATAAAGAACTGTTCTTTCTGAACTTGGGGGTGCGTGGCCCTCTGCAAACTCGAGAACACCCCAGGTTTGGGTTATGAATTACAACTTTTAGTTCTCCTTAATAATTCACTTTGTAGGTTCCCATTGATTGATAGTTATACCAAAACAAGAAAGGCTGTAACATCTTGTTGGTTAAGTGCCAAAGAGAGGAGTGGGGCTGCCCTGGTGGTCCAGTGGATAAGACTCTGCCTGCCGGTGCAGGGGACACAGGTTCGATTCCTTCTCTGGGAAGATCCCACATGCCCCAGAGCAACCAAGCCCACGCAGCAGACTCCTGAGCCCACGTGCAGTAACTGCTGAGGCCCACGGAGCCCACACGCCTACAGCCCATTGCCCCACAGGAGAAGCTGCCACAGCGAGAAGTCCACGCAGGGCAACAGAGAGTAGCTCCCGCTTGCCACGGCTGGAGAGCCCATGTGCAGCACGACGACCCCCAGGTAAAGGAGCAAACGAGCAAAGGAAAGGCTGAAGATCATTAAAAAGCAAAAAGAAGAGACTGGGTGTGAGGTTAGCCCCAGCCTGAAGCAGGGTGCAGGCCAGAGGGTCTCGGGACGTCTGACTGCAGCTATGTTCACATGTCCTAGGAAGGTGTGTCTGGACACACACACACACACACACACACACACACCCCATTGTGTGTCTAATTTTATGTTTCCACAGACTTGAGGACCCTTCAGTGCACCCTTCCTCGAGATAAGATGTGGGGCCACTGTTTCCCTCTGCTCAGCACCCACCGGGCGGGAGGCATCATGCATGGAAGCAAAGGACAGATGCCCCACAGGCACTGGCCCCTCCTGCCTCAGCCTGTGGCTCTCTCATGACTTCCTGGTGGAGGACCCAGCGTCTTCTGAAGATGCCGAGCCCCGCAGCCCTCCTCCCAGAGGAAGGACGGGGCTGGGGAGACCTCTGTGGGCTTGGTCTTCATCTTTGTGATTAGCAGGGATGCCGACTTTCATGCTCTTGGCTTTATTTCCCTTGCCCTGTTTTTGGTTCTTTTCCACGTAGAGGGTGGTTTTGGGGAAGAGCCCCAGGCTTACCACACTAGTGCAGAGTCGGGAGAACCCCTGTGGGATCACTGGGGAGTCTGGTTGCTGGTGACGTGGGTACGGATTTGTTTTCAGATCCAGTCCACCGTGCCCGCTTGGTATGAACACAAGGAGCTGGTGGTGATATACTGGCACACATGCCGGGGTTTGAATTCTCTTGTATTTTTGTTACAGTTTCTGTGTGTCTGTTTGTAAGAGAAGTCGGCCACTAGGTTTTAATTCTTGTAACCCATGTCCTCGAGAGGCTTCCGGCCAAGGTCGTGGCGGCCTTGAGGAGCACTGGGTCCTGTGCCCTCTTCCCTCCTCTGAGGGTCTGGGACGCCCTCAGGCTGCCTGCCTCATGTCTTTCCTCCCTGTCCTCTACCTCACCTCCTCCTCCTGAGCTGACTGCTGCGCCTGGCTGCCGCTGCAGGCCCCAGGCGCCAGTCTAGGCCTCTTGGCTTTCCTCACCGTGAGAGGGGCTACTACCCGTGTCTCTTGCTGGTGGGGGTCTCGCCACCCCCCACCCCGCCCGGCCCCAGACTCTCTGGGGTCTAAGCTCATAGTTTTTAATAGCTTCATTTATTCATCGGGAGTGACTGGGCTGATCCCACAGCCCCCCAACCAGCTGGCTATTCCCTGCTTCTAGGGACCTGCCCCCTTCTCCTCTCTGATCCCTAACCAAAGACCATTTTCTGGTTAAAAACTTATATTTAGTTCACCTTATGTAAGAGCAGGGAGACAGATTTGAGAACTTTCTATCAGAAATGATTAAAGGTTTTTCCTGTCTAGACAGCTCATCTTCCTGCAGTGGATAATAGGATATATTAATTTTCAGTATTTGATACGTAACCTTACTGATGGCTTTTAAAAGTATAACATTACTTAAGAAATACAGAGATCACATTTGTTTGGGCTTTAATTAAGAGCTTCTAAGAATGTGTTAGTTTGACACATGAATCGGATCCAAGAGGTGGATGGCTGGCCCAGGTTTATGTAACATAGGGACGTGACCGTGGAAGTTGGCACTGTTGTCACTCCGGGACATGTGTCCTTAGGGCAGTTTCCGCATTATTGGTATTTTTAGACCTTGCAGTGAATGGTGGATCCCTGCACTCCCTCCGCTCTGGTCTGTGCGGGTCTCAGAGCCTTGTTCTTTCTTTCAGTCACAGGCCGCTTCCTGAGTTCTGCTCTGCGTGTTAATCCTTCCTGTCACTCTGCCTTCCATGCTTGGCTTGTGCATTTCAGTCTGGAGAGCATTTTGTTTCCTCCAGTTGCTCTGTTCAGGATCCAGTGCGGGATTCTCGGGGGAGTGGCACGGCCTGTCTTGTGGGTTTCCTAGGGTCTCTGGGCAGCGGCTGCAGCCTAGGGACAGGCGGGCATCCTCTGGGGCTGGTCCCCCTCGCCTGCTGCTCTGGGTCCTGTTGTTTGTCGGCTGTGATGGGGTGCGAGGCTCCACTCTAGGCCAGCATGCCTTTGGGCTCCCCTTGCCAAAGACACCTCCTCTGCTCACCCACTGGTCTCGCTGGTTTGTCCCAAAGGGAGCAGGGCCCGAGGACGGGGCAAGCTCAGAATGCCTGTCCCTCCCCCTCTGCTGCACCTGCCGTTCTGCTGACCAGGCCTCTGCCCTGTGCCCAGGATGGAGTCACTCCTGCTCTGGGCTGGTGATGCCGGTGCTGCCCGCAGCCTGTGTCAGCCTCGCTTGTCCTGGGCCCGAGTGCGGGAGAGGCAGGGGAGGCCTGCCCTGCCCTGTCCAGGGCCCTGGGCGCTGGGTGACAGCTCGCTCTCTTCCGCCTGCATCTCTGGCCCTCTCTCGCTGTCTCTCTGCTCTTCCCTCTGTGTGCCTCTCCTTCTCTTTATGTGTGTGTCTCTCTCTGTGTGTCTTTCCCTCTCTGGGTCTCTGTCTGGCTCCCTCTCTTCCACTCCATCTCTGCTGTCTTCCAGTGGAGATGCAGGGCTCATTCCTAGTGTTGGGAACATTGGGTTTCTCTAAAAATGATCATAAAACAATAAAATATATACAGACAGGGAGCAGCCTCCCACCTACTTAATGAATTGTTTTAATATTTTCAGCATGCTTTAATTGCCCATGAAGCGTTTGATTGTTGAAAGTTTGAAAAAAAAAATAACGTTTCCTTCAGGTCAGAAAAATATTTCCAATAATGTTCACCAGTTCATTTCAAAGAATAAGTGGGGTTTTAAAGTACAGAACAAAGTAGTCTTTTTTTAACAGCAGCTTTTTTGGGGTGCAGTTGACGTATGCCTGGACCCTGCACGTGTTGTAACGGGTGCAGCTGGCTGTGTTGAGCACCAAGGGGCATCGCCCTGTGAAGGTGGTGAACGCCCCCTCCCTGCCCGGTCCTGTCACAGTGGATCCTTTGCAGCTCTGGTTCACGTGGACGGATCAGGCCACACGGCCCTCTCTGTCTGGCTCATTTCACTCAGCGCGATGACTCAGAGACCCAGCATGTTGTTGCAACTGTCAGTGCTTCATCCCAAAGGAATCTTTCTTCTGAGGGGAAGGACAGTATCTTGCTTGCTCAGAAGGTGGGGTAGATTTAATTTACTGAGTAGAATAAAGTCCACTTTGACTGGGGCTATTAAGCCCCAAATGCAGGGGGAATAAAAGGCGGGTAAATTGGGGCCCTGCTGGGCGGTCCCACAGTCACGTGAGAACCTGTATCTGGCTGAGCCTTCAGGACCAGGTAGATCCAGTGCCCTCTCCTGGACCCCGTCCCTGCTGGCTCAGACTGGAGTGGGCCCTGCTTGGGAGCAGTGACGAGGGTGGTTCTCGGATGTCGCGGAATAAATGCACAGTGCGGAGCATTTCCTCAGCGTGCAGGGTCTTAGATCCCAAACCAGGGTTTGAACCTGGATCCTGGCAGTGGAAGCGCCGAGTCCTAACCACTGGACTGCCAGGGAATTCCAAGTGGGAGTGTAAGTAATACAAAAAGAGATGAAATCAAACCAAGGCCTCTGGACTAGAGAATCATTTCCTCGGGCAAGTCTTTCTTCATAGACTTCCCAGAGGAAGTGAGGGCCCCCCCCCCGACTTCCCTTCCTTGGGTGTCCCCTTCCTCGGGACGTTTTTATATTAAGTGTTTGTTGTAGTTTTACCGTATGAAGCTACTGCTTTTCTCCACAGTGGTCACATACCAGGATCCACTTGATTCTTCTGAAATCTTAGCCAGGGAAGCTTTTGTCATATCGGAGCTGAAATATCAATGCTCAGAAGTTTCCCTAGTTCAGAACAGTTGAAGACACTTGTCTTCTAGAACTTCCTTTGCATTTTCTCATGCTAGTTGTTGAAGAGCCGCTCTGCCCTCTGGGTGGACCCAGGATCCTCGGAGTGAGGATCCTCAAAGTCACTCGGCTTTGATTCACTCCTCCACCCACAGGCCTTGTCCCCAAGGCCTGTCCACTGAGCCTCCCAATAGGAAGCCTGACATTTCCATCTCTTGTCATCCCTCTGCCCCCCAGCTGTCCCGGCCTCACCCCTGGCATTGCCCACAGAGCTATCAGCCTGATCTTTCAGAAAGCACAGCCCAGATTCCTTGTTCTCACACCAGCTTCTGCTGAGAGCCTCTCCTCTACCAAAGGCATCTGGAGGGGCTCCTCCTGCTTTCCGTCTCAGCCTCAGCTGAGGGGTGTCCTCACCCCCTGCCTGGCTCAGTGACTCAGGGGGCCCCTCCTGGCCCAGTGACTTGGGGGTCCCCCCTGCGGCCCCTCTTCTGGTGCCCCTCCATGGTCCCACCTCCTGGTGCCCCCCCCAGCCCCTCCTCCTGCTGCCTCGCCCGAGGCCCCTCCCGGTGCCCTCCCTGCCCGCTCAGTGACTCATGGGGCCCCCCCTCCCCGCGACCCCTCCTCCAGTACCAGCCCCCGCAGCCCCTCCTCTGGGTGCCCCTGGCTGACCCTCCTTTGATGGACGATCGCAGGACTAGTTAAGCACTTGAAGCAGTGGTGGTACCAGTGATGCAGAAGTACCCCTGTGTGTCAGCATCCCTCTGCTGACCGTTCTCTGTCCCCTGCCTTGAGCCTGTGAAGCCTTGTATCTTGGATAGTCGGCATCTCTAATATCAGGGAATCTGGTTTGTGTAACTGCATACTCACGAACGATGCTACATACCCGCAAGGTAGAATGTAGGGGCAGAGTGAGTGAGTGAAAGTCGCTCAGTCGTGTCCGACTCTTTGCAACCCCATGCAGTCCATGGAATTCTCCAGGCCAGAATACTGGAGTGGGTGGCCTTTCCCTTTTCCAGATCTTCCCAACCCAGGGATCAAACCCAGGTCTCCCGCATTGCAGGCGGATTCTTTTCCAGCTTGAGCCACGAGGGAAGCCCAAGAATACTGAGTGGGTATCTGCACACTTATGAATGGTGCTATGCATCTGCAAGGTAGAATGTGAGATACTTATTTGGGGGCAGAGTGAAGCCTTAATTTCCAGAGTCTAGTAAAATTGTAATGATAAATACCACTTTTCAAGGAAATCCGAGAGCTCCATTCCGTCAGCAAGGTTTCCAAGGGCACAGCAGTCCATCGGGTGCCGAGCGACGCGTTCATGTCACGGGACAGGTTCTGTGTTTGCGGTTAGCGCCCACGAGCGCAGCCCCACCTGACCCTGTTTCACCAGCATTGCTGTGGCATCTGAGCTCCTTTTGTCAGCAGATACAGGTGACGCCCTGTGGAAACCCTTGTAGCCTGACTAATGAGTGGTCACGCTGCTGTCAGGAGGGTGTCCTGAGCCAGGCGCAGCCAGCAGGAGAGGACTCCGGGAGGCAGTGGTGGTGGTGCCTGGGTGTGTCAGGGACCGGAGACCACGGAGCCTCTAGCTGACAAGGCTCCTCCGTGTCCCACCCCCTCCACCCCTTCCGGAGTTTTAGGGTGCCCAGGCCCTGCCCTTCTCCTGTGGCGCGCCGGGTGTATCGAGCCGGGCAGGGTTCTGGCCCCTGAGCCTGCGCCATCAGCCGGCCTCCTCTCCCTGCAGCCTGGCTCCCTGCGCCCCTCTCGCTTCTCCCACAGAGCCTCTCTCCTTCTCTTTTGCAAGAAATAGGAAACCTCCCTGATGATTCAGACGGTAAAGAATCTGCCTATAGGGCAGGAAACCCAGGTTTGAACCCAGGTTTGGATCCCAGGAAGAACCCCTGGAGAAGGGACTGGCAGCCCACTCCAGTATTGCTGCCTGGGGAATCCCATGGACAGAGGAGCCTGGCGGGCTACAGTCCATGGGGTCACAGAGTCAGACACAGCTGAGCGACTAACACTTGCACTTCCACTTGCAGGAACCTTCCAGCTGCCTCTCCTGACCCTCCTTGGGGTCTTGCCACCCTTGACACGCAGGCTCCTCGGCTCTCTTTGCTGCTGCAGGTGGTCTCGTCACTGGTCTTGTCTGGTTCACAGTGTGGCAGGTGCCGCCGGCCCTGGCCCAGCTTGGGTGTGAATGGGTCACCTTTCCGTCAGTAGTAGTTCTGCAGCGCTGGGTCGTTCCCGGGTCGCTCCCGGGTCAGCTGTGCTGGGCTCATCGTTACTGACAGCGCTCCCTAGCTGTGGGCACCATGGACGGGTGTCTTCTGTGCCTGTGATTTTCTCCTACGTCTGTGTTATAAGCTGTGTGGCCCCTACAAAGGCGTGCGGGTCAGGAGAGTGGGCTCTGATGACACGTCTGTCCTCTGCCCTCCCCAGGGTACAAGCAGACATGTCTCGGTCTCCCCTGAGCTCCTCCTTGACCACGGCCCCTCCCCACGTGGACACGGCCGCCGTCCCGTGTTTCAGAACAGCACTGTGCTTGCCGTTCTCTCTACAGCAGCACGGAAGCCGGGGTCCCTTGGGATCCAGCTCAACTGTGCCTGCTACTGAGCTGCCTGGAGTGGGGTCATGGGATGTCCTCTTACGGCCCTCTAGGTTTATTAGCACGGAGGATTACATCAATAGATCTCCACGCATGCAGTCATTCTCGTGTTCCCAGCACAAATCCAGCTAGATCATGCAGGATTAGTCAGAACTACATTCACTGACGTTTTGTCGAGGGTGTTTACGTCTGTCCCTGGGAGTAGTTTGGCTGACACTTCTTCCTTCCTCCTCGTGCTTGGCAGATGTGTTCCTGCTGAGTATCGGGCGAATTTCCTGGGGGAGCCATCCAGGCGTGGACTGTTGTTCGTACAGTGATTTTTTTTTTCTCTCTTGATTCTACTTTAATGTTGGTAGTCTACTCACATTTTCCATTTCTTCCTGAGTCAGCTTTGATGAGTTGCATTTTTCTTGGAATTTGCTCATTTTACCTAAGTTTACAAGACTTTTGGAGTAGCTCCATTCTGTGGGTCTCTTGCTGCTTAACTTACGCACCCAAGACTCAGCTTCAGAGAACAGCCACAGTGTTGTTCTGCTTGTGTCTTCATGGGTCAGGGATTTGCGGGGTGTGTGTGGATGGCCTGTCTGTGCTCCACAGTGATGGGAACCTCAGCTGGGCTTGCCCAAATATCTGGAGGTTGGCCATGTGTTGGGGGCCATCGTTTAGGCTGATGCCTGGGTTCATTGGTTCTTAGTGTCCTGCCCGAGGAGGCTTCGTGAGTGACATGGCTGGCACCTCCTGCAGCTGGGTGATGATGGGTGGGTGACGCTGTGAACGGCTCTGGGCACTCGGCTCAGAACCTCTGTGCTGGACAAGATGGCTGTGACCGTAACCCTAGGCCTGCGGGGCTCTGCAGTGAATGCCCGTCACACCTGGAGATGCCGCCAAAAGAGATGGGGACGCCGTGTGCCCTGTCCTCACAGACACCCACTGGCACACGTTCTAGGGGCATCTGAGCCCGTCACAGCAGAGAGGTGTGTCAGAGCCTGAGGACCTGCAGCTGTGGCTATGCAGAGGGAGGGTCCTGATGGCTGGGGATGGGGGTGTGCACAGCTTGGCCACACCGCGGTCAGATGCACTGTCCACCTTGGTCTTGCCACTGCCCCTCTGAGACCCGCCGCTCTCCCCGCAGACGTGGGCCAGGAGGTCTGCACTGGAGAAGCAGGTGTTGTTTGGATATCAGCTTGTTTTTCAGAAAGAAAATACGGGCTCTCCATTGTCAGGTCTCATAGGTATGTCAGCAGGTTCCATCGTCCCGCTGGTTGGGAGGAAGTGATCTGGAGAGTTGTTTTCCGGGCTCCGCTCCAGACACAGGGCTGGCTGTCAGCGGTGACCTGGGTGGGGAGGGGTGGGGGGGATGCCAAGCCTGCAACTCCGGGTCTGTCTGGACTCATATGCGTGTGCACAGGCCTGCACGGGTGGTGTCTGCTTTCTCAGAAGATGGGTCTGGACAGGACTCTGCCCGAGGTCTCATTCCTTAGCGTGTGGGTTGGTGCTTGTTTGCACTGGCCTGTTGGCGAGTGGAGATCTAATGGTGTATGTCATGTGTGCACCTGCCTGTTGCGGCAAGGTGGAAGTGATCATGGGATATCGGCTTTAAAAATTAAGAACACATTAGAAGTAAGTGAAACATATCTAGGAGTTGTTGTTCAGTCGCTCAGTTGTGTCTGACTGTTTGTGATCCTATGGACTGTAGTCCACCAGGCTCCCCTGTTCATGGATTTCTTCAGGCAAGAATACTGGAGTGCGTTGCCATTTTCTTCTCCAGGGGTTCTTCCCGACCCAAGGATTGAACCTGCGTCTCCTGCATTTGCAGGCAGATTCTTTACCACTGAGCTACCAGGGAAGCCCCCATATTCAAGAGAGGACTGGTATTTTTGGGGCAGTGCTGTGCAGCCTGCAGGATCAGTTCCCTGGAAGAGGACTTTTCATGAGCAGCATGTGTTATGGAGTTGGCTTCCCTGGTGGCTCAGAGGTTAAAGCGTCTGCCTGCAATGCAGGAGACCCGGGTTCGGTCGGGAGGATCCCCTGGAGAAGGAAATGGCAACCCACTCCAGTATTCTTGCCTGAGAAATCCCGTGGACGGAGGAGCCTGGTGGGCTACAGTTCACGGGGTCTCAACGAGCTGGACATGACTGAGTGCCTTCACTTTTTCACTTTGACGTCTGCGATGGTGGAAAAGCTTTATTGTTGGGTTGAAGTTAACATGAAGCACGGGAACCGTCTGTTACAGGGGGAAGGCTTTCCGGTCGGCATGGAGAGCTGGACAAGGGCCTAAAGGAAGCTTGCCGAGCGGGCGCCACGCTTGGATCATCTCAGCTCCACCCGCTCCGCAGGGCCCAGGAGGCACAGAAACACGTGGGATTCACGGTAAGAGTGGAACCTGTAAACCTCTGCTAACTTTTGACTCATAAAAAAATTGCCTCTGGCCCCACGTAAACTCATTAATTAAGCCTTTTGGCTGGCTGTTTAAAACACATTTTGTTAGGAGCTTCCTACAAGCTCGGACTTTGCTGTCCCTGCAGCCTCTCAGCGCGTGCTCTGCTGCCCCCCAGTGGCCGCCGCGGGTGGCACAGGGCTGGGCACTACCAGGGACTCGCCGTAAAGCCTTCACCGCAGATTATTTTCTTTGAGGTAATTAAAAGAACATTTCCTTGGTACTTATTGTTGGTGACTATTACATGATGCAGCGTCTGCTTTTGAGGGAAGCTGAGACGACTGTCAAAATCCCGGTCGTTAATATGACGTAAGGTTAGTTGGTGGCCGGCAGAGTGACTGAGTCAGGAAGGTCGAACGCTGAACTTGGGAGGTTTTTTCCTGGGGAAGAGGTATTATAGGAAGTGGCTGCCAGAGGCTGCCGCGTGCAGAAAGAGGGCGTTCTGCGTTCGTCCACTCCCTCGTCCACTCCCTCGCTGGGGGCTGAGGTGTGTCAGCCAGGATACGGCCCCCTCTGGGCCGTGGTGGGCGTGGAGCCCATGGGGTCGGTTAGGGGCGGGAGATGTGCCCTGCCTGACCACAGGGCCCTGGGATTGTACCTGGAAGGTCCCATCTGTTGTTTCTGTGTCCGTAGACCTCAGGAACGTCAGGTCCCTGGTTCCCAGGGGAACCATTAAAAGAGGTTTTGTCTAATCTTCAACTGGTGCTTTCTTTGTTTTCTTTTTCTTTTTTGTACATAGCCAGCAAGTATATGGAGAGGGAAAAACCATGATTACTTTTACCACTGCTTGTGCCAGTGGGACGGAGTTGTATTTGTAACCACAACTCATCCTTTATCTCAATTAGTGATCTTAAATCAGTTTCTCTGTAGCCAGAGTTGATTGGGAGATGGTAAAAAGCCCAGAGTGAGACCATGCATTAGCACTGCAAGTGAGCTGTGATTTATGGCCACCTACGTGCAGGGTGCTGTAGATGTAACGTTCTTGTTGTTTAGTTGCCCAGTCGCATCTGACTCTTTACGACCCCGTGGACTGTGGGTCACCAGGCTCCTCTGTCCATGAGACTTCCCAGTCAAGAATACTGGAGTGGGTTGCTATTTCCTTCTCTAGGGGATCTTCCCGACCCAGGGATTGAACCTGCATCTCCTGCATTGGAAGGTGGATTCTTTACCACTGCGCCATCAGGGAAGCCCCCAAAACATTGCCCTCTTAGGCCCGTCTGGGATTCAAACCCAAGGTCTCCTTTTTGCTAGTCAGGTGCTTTCATAGCTAAGCCACAGAGACAGTTATCATGTGATGTAAACTATCGCTTTAATTATGCTGTTGAAGTGAGTTAGAAAGTGTTTTTTAATGTGACGTAAGCATGCACTGAAGAAGCGAATTGTTGATCCTGTGCACAACGCAGTTGTCCCTGAAGGCACAGAAAAAAAAAGCAAGACAGAAGGCGGCATCTGAAGCAGAACGGAGGACAGGAATGGTCAGACACCCAGTGTCAGGAATCAGGTCTGCTGCTGAGTCTGTGCTGATAGGTGGGACCTGCAGAGTAGACACTTTGCATTTGTTTCATAAAATGAGAGCTAATTCTAGCAACCGTAATCCCGTGTATTAATCTTTTTTTTCACAGTGATTTGAAAAAGAAAAAAGCACGCAAGTTTCTGGCTGGATAAAGTATCTCTTGGCTGCCGCGCTCCTGGTCAGTAGCCTCATTTGCCGTCTGGCGGGAGCACTGCAGGCAGCCTGTATTTTTAGCTCCAGGCCAGTCCCTGCTTCCATTTCTCTTGGTCCTTAAACAGGCTGAAGTTGCTTCCTGTGTCTCACAAGTGAGAACACCTTCCGAGGCTGGAGCCTCTTGAGCTCGGGCTGTGGAGCCCCTGCAGAATTTAAGGCCCCGTGTGTGCTGTGCAAGCCAAGTTGCTTCAGTCGTGTCTGATTCTTGGCGACCCTATGGACTGTAGCCTGTCAGGCTCCTCTGTCCATGGGATTCTCCAGGCAAGAACACTGGAGTGGGTTGCCATGACCTCCTCCAGGGGATCTTCCCAACCCAGGGATCGAGCTGAGTCTCTTACATCTCCTACATTGGCAGGCGGGCTCTTTACCACTAGTGCCACCTGGGAAGCCCTTACGCTCCCTCAGGGAGTTAATCTGAGGGGGTCCCAGGGAGGCCTGGCTCTGCTCAGACGCTGAGGCTTTCCTCAGTGTCTCATTGCCACCAATCCCCGCAGTCTGCTTATGATAAATATGTATAGACTCCCCTTCTAATTCTGAAATGAAATCATTATAATTATGACCATATCCACCTGTAGTAAAAGAGAAATTAAGGGTGCACAATGAAATAGCTCTCATGCAGACCTGTGACCGCCCTGTGCTGCGCATACACCTGCAGACGCAGAGCTGCGGGTGCTGCGATGGTGACGTGGGACTGTGGGGCTAACCTGAGCGGGATGGCCCTCAGCTCACAGACTGGCTCTCAGAGCAGTAGGCTGCGGTCCTCTCTGCCTTCACACGGGGTTACACTCTGGACTGCTGGGTGTGTGGGAAGTTGTGACCGTATTGTAACAGGCCTGGGCCTGTGTCCCCATGAATCTCTTTGTCACCTGCATGTCAGTCCTTCGGGCGGGACAATTATTTCTGGGACGGTCGTGCTTGTCTCACACATTCCCTCTCCCCATATGGTGCCCGAGCGCCCCAGCCCTGTGACAACCAGACCACGTGCACACGTGGCTACCACTGACAGGAGCCTTGGCAGAGAGAAGAAAGTGGCAAGGAGGGTCTGTCGGGGACAGGGTGGTCTCCAGATCCTCACAGGCCTGCTGGGTGTTCTGAAAGCCAGGGTAGCTGTGGGCCTGGGAGGGGTCTCCTGGGGCATCAGGCAGGCCCTGGCAGGTGCAGGTGACCCCAGGTGCTCCTAACTAACACCAGCAATGGGGGGAGCGGGAGGCAGCGCTGCGAGGGCTTAGTGCTTAGGCAGGTGGCTGAATCCTTACATATTGGGGTAGAAACTTGACTTTTACCCCTTACTGTGATTACTGGCTAACAGAATCTGTTTAACGCAGATGACACTTCAGTTTACAAACACTTCTGAAGGTCAGTGAACTAAAGAAAAGTTTGGCTGAGAATGAAGAGTGTCTCAGTGTGCTTCTGGCATGAGTCACTGCTGCCGAGAAGGTGTCCTTGCGTGGCCTGCCTGACTCATCAGCATCAGCTCAACAAGGGGCGTCCAGGCAGAAGCGCCCCTGTTTGTGAGGTCATGGGTCTCGGGCAGCCAGGGGCAGAGACTGGCCCTGTGGGACCCCGGTGCTGCCCAGGGAACCGTGGTCCACCTAGCTCAGGTCTGCCAGTGTTCGCTCTTCTGCTCTGGAACCAGGAGGCCGAGCGGGAAACGGATCCTGCCGGGGACCGTGCTCTTCTGGAGGCTTCTGCATGTGAACCTTGGTGATCCAGTCATCACTCATTGGGAAGCTTGTGTCCTGCCCCGTGGGGCGGTGAGGGTCTGCTTCCCCAGGCCACTTGGAGGAGGCGCGCTAGCCCAGGGCGTGGGCGCGGCTGGTGTGGTGGGCGTGGCCAGCGTCGTGGGTGTGGTGGGTGCAGTGGTTGTGGTTGGTGCAGTTGGCGTGGCCAGCGTCAGGCCAGCCACACTTCCCCAGCCTTCAGAGGTCACCCGCTGGCTCAGTGCGGAGTGTGAACCCAGTTCTATCCTTGGAAGCATCGGTGGTCAGCATGCCCATGGACTAACTTCTTGTCACTGTGAAATAAACTGCAGCAAGTGTCCTCCAGCCGTCTCAGGGTCAGGGCCAGAT